GTTGGTCTGGAAGGCGAAGGAGGCTCCCTGGCATCCCGCGGGCAGCCTGCAGGACCAGTTAGAGCAGGACCGGCGTTAGCCCGGGCAGAGCCAACGTGGAGCACGCGGCCGCAAACTGCACGGAAAGTTTGCATCCTGCAGCTCGCAGCCGTTTGTCCCTCCCCTTTCTTCTCCCTCCCCCTGCTGGTCCCCCATCGCTGGAGGCCCTGGGACCTACTGATACGGGAGGGGACAGGGAAGGGGGTGCGCTGATCCCGGAGCAGCCAGCGGGTTAGGGAGGTTAGGGAGGTAGATGCCCGGAAGACCTCGTTTTCTCTTGCTCCTTTTACCTGTAGCTCGGCTATCAGCTCCTCTTTGCTCAAATTCTGCTTTTCCACCACCTGCAGCCCTCCATCTTGCAGGATCTTCCGGCAGCAGGGGTCCAGGCTGTCACTGATGAGCACTTTGCGCAGATTTGCGAAGGCCATTGCTGGAGCAGGACTCGGAGTCGGCCGCTCTCGGTGGATTGAAGCTCTTACGCCAAGAGCCTGCTGTTCGCTCGGGCTGGCTGTGGTAACTGGGCAGGATTCTCGGTCTCCCGCTCCCCTTTCAGTCTCCCCCTTCGGCTCCTAGCGTCTCCTTTTGATTGGACAGAAATGCTCAAACTCTGGGACTCCGCCTCCTCGAGGTTCGAAGTTCTCAGACCCCGCCCACTTTTTATCTGACTCGGGATGAATTTTTTTAAACTCAGCGGAAGCGCTTATACCTGGTGAAAATTTAAAAACACGATTTGTATATGAAAATTTCTCTCACCGTGAGATAAGTTTCATCCTCACCTCTTTCTCCCCAAGGGCTCACTAATTCTTTAATAAATATTTTTTTGAGGGTAAAAAGTCAAGGTACCCTATGACTTTATGAGGCTTCAAAGATCAAAAAGCTTTGCTCCAAACTCTGATAGCCTAATACACAAGAGTACAAAAACACAAGCAGTAAGAAACTTTTTAATGGTTTATTTCATTTACTTATTTACTGTGCATGGAATCCAGGGCCTTGTGACTGAGCTACATCTCCAGCCATTATTCATTCCTTCAGTCAGTGTCTCCCTAAGTTGTTAAATGCCCTAGGTGTGCTCAAGTTTAGGATCGTCCTGCCTCAGCCTCCCTGAGTGCTGAGGTTACAGATATGCACCACCAGGACCGGCTCACACAATCTCCTTCAATCTAGCTTGTAACTATTTTCTTACCACCCTGGGCTTGCACTAGAACCTCAATGTGGGCTGGGGTCTGTTTTTCGGTACCGAGGATCTAACTCAGGTCCTTGAGCTTGCAAGGCAGGCGGTGGAACCACTGAGCTAAATCCCCGGCCCTCTAGAGAAGTCCGAATTGTGAAGCTCATGCGAGGAACAGACTGAGTGGCCAAGCACACAAGGATAAATGAAACATAGCCTTGTCCTCAAGCTTCTAATGCCTAACCGCATAGTCCTGGGAGTTGAATGGGAAGTAAACAGAGAGAGGAAATGATGCAAAGCTCAGAGATGTGAGGAATTGCAGGATGCTCACAGCTTCTCCACCATACCTGAGGGGATGCCAGTGGGGGACCAGGACATGAGACTGCAGGGGTCCAGGACTTTGCCCTGAGAAGGGGTTTAAACTTGACTGCCTGTAGTCCCAGCTATGTGGGAGGCTGAGGCAGGAGGATCACTTGAGCCTGAGAGTTCAGGACCAATCTAAACAACATAGAGTGACACTAAATAAAGCTGGGCTCAGTGGCATAGGCCCATAATCCCAGCACTCTGGAAGGCTGAGGCAGGAGGCTGTCAAGTTCAAGCCCAGTCTGGCAACTTGGTGATTTAGCAAGACTCTGTTTCAGAGTAAAACATTTAAAATGAGCTGAAGTTGTAGCTTAATGCAAAGGCCCTGCCCTGCAAAATAAATAAATGAAGACATAAATGTAAATAAGCCTGGTAGTGGTGCATGCCGGTAATCCTAGCCGCTGGAGAGGCAGAAGTGGGAGAACCAGAAGTTTGGGCTCCGCCTAAGAAATTTAGCAAGACCCTGTCTCAAAATAAAAAATGAAAACAGGGCCGGAGCTGTGGCTTAGTTGTATTTTCCTAGTATACATGAAGTCCTAGGTATGATCTCCAGTATCACAAAGTTGATTGAGTATAGTACAGGGAATGACGTTTTTGGCTGAGTCTGTATATTCCTAATACAGATAACACCCCTTAGCATCCTGCCCCATAGTCTCCAACATTAAAAGCGATTTAAGGGTATCTCTTTTATTTGTTTTGTTTTTGGTACTGGGGAATCGAACTCGGGACTTTGTGCTTGTGAGGCAGGTGGCAGAATCACTGAGCCAAATCCCTGGCCCAGGTATCTCTTTTATAACCGAGTTTTAGAGATGGGGAAATTTCTCTGCCTCTCCCTGTGCTACTGTCTCCATCCATTTAAAAAGAAAAAAACGGAACGTTGGCCTTGGAAATACAATTAATACCTTGGTCCACAAACTTAGCTCTTTCTACGATTCTGAATTGCATGAGAACCAAATCAAATTCAATTGTTTAGGTTCAATGCTTACTTTCTGGGGGAATTTGATTCAGTTCTCGTCCAATTTGGGTTGTGACCAGAATCGTGGGAAGACTTAAATTCGCAAACCAAGGTACCACTGTATTAGGAAAATCATTCTGGCCTTTTCTCTAGACTAGTCATTGTTCTTCTCCCTCGGCCCCAGCCGCTGGGGAAAGGGGCAGTCTTCCGATTAGTGAAGCTTGGGGAAAAGGTTCTAGTGCATGCCCAGACCAGCCCCCTTGGCTCTCCCTTTTGGCTCTGGACGCCAGCAACTAACGTGGAGTCTCCTGCTTCCTTGTGTGTAGTGAACCCATCAGAGCAGGCCCTACCCTGTGACCTTGAAGGTACAGGAACTATAGTGACAAGCTTTTCTCGGCTCCGAGGATAAGGTCAGTAGGGTCAGTAGGGGACAGGAGGTGGGTAATAGGAGCTTCATATTTCTGCTTGAAGTCCAGCTACGATTTCCAAACTCTCAATATGAGCAATAAAGATGATATTTAGAGTTCTTTTTTTTTTTTTAAGTACCAGGAATTGGACCCAGGGCCTTCATACTGAGCTACATTCTTAGTTTTTAAAAATATGTTTTATTTTGAGACAGGGTCTTGCTAGGTTGAAAGTTGCTCAGGATGGACTGGAGCTTGAGATCCTCCCACCTTAGCCTCCCAGAGTTCTAGGATTACAGATATGTGGCACTATGCCTGATTTAAGGTAGGTTCTTGTTGCTTATCTTTTTGAGACAGGATCTCACTATGTAGTTTAGGCTGGCCTTGAATTCATTATCCCAAGATAGCCTTGAACTTGTGGCGATCCTACTGCCTCGGCCTCCTGAATGCTGGGATCACAGGCATGTACCACTGTGCCTGTTTAAAGAAAATATTTTGAGAAATAGAAAATGCATGGCCCAAGCCAGGAGTGGTGGCCCATGGCTGTAACCCCAGGACTCTGGACTGCATGTTTGAGGCAACCTGGGCCATATAGTGAGTTTATGGCCAACCTGGACTGCATAAGGAGACTCCTGAAGAGGACAAGGAAGAGAACAAGAAAGAAAATGAATGGCCTATTCTAGGTACAGTGGTATAGACCTGTAGTTCCAAGGACTTGGAAGCCTGATCCTGTGAGCTTAGGAGTTGGAGTTCAGCCTGAGCAACAGAGCAAGACCTCATCTCAAAATTTAAAAATAAGCACTGATAAAATGAATTGGGGGAGAGAGCTGGCTGAAAGCAGCACCTTGGCCCCCATGTCAGAGCAGACCTGGGATGGCTCCCATCACATGCGAGGGCTGGAGGGCTGGGGTCCTGGCATCACGTGGGAGATGGCCTGGAGTAGCCCCCTGTCGCGAACCGGCGACGCAGAGCACTGTCCCGCAGTGCCTCAAACCTGAAAGAGCAGCGGGGTGGAGATGGGGCAGAGAGAAAGGAAGGACGCCAAGACAAGAGTCTGATCAAGGCGACGTTTATTGCCGGCAAGCACCGGCCTTTTAAAGGGAAAGGCCGAACTATTATGGGCTAGGATCACCATAGTAACCTCAACACCCGCTCCACGGGAACGAGGGTTCACACGGGCCTCAACACCCGCTCCACGGGAACGAGGGTTCACACGGGCAAGAGAAAGCAGGCTCAAGAAAAACAAATTAACAACACCTGCAACTAATAATCATGATTCCCACAATAGGTGGAGGAACTCAACAAAATGGAGGTATAACACCTGACTCCTATAGATAACATCAGATCTTTGGCTGTCCGAGTTTCTCCCGTGCAGGGTCAAAACAAGTTTAACACGTGCAGTCCTTAAAAAGGAACAAATGTTGTCTTTCAAAAAGCCAGTGGGCCATGGCTGGCTTCCCACAGCCCCCAAGTGAGACAGCAGTAGCACAGGAAGCTTTTCTCAGATGCAATCTTATTCTGATTTTCCTATTTTTAAATTATTATTATCTTTCCTTCGTTGATCCCCCCCGCCCCAGTGTTTGGAGTTTTCTCCCAATTTTTTTCCTCGTCTTTTAGTTTCTTTTCTGCATTTTATCTTTTTCTCTTCCAACTTTTTTCTTTTATCTCATGTTTTGCTGTTCTATCTTTTTTTCTTCTTTTTCTTGTTCTCCCTGGTGACTAGTCTCTATCACTATTACTTTCCCTTTACTCTTTAACAGGGCCTCCTATTCTTCTTTTCTGTCCTTCTCACATCCTAATGATTAATTTTTCAAGGGTTGCTTTCTTCACTTTCCAGTTCTCCACCCCTTCTACCTTTACTAGTCTAACCATTAAACATTATGAATCTATCAATAAATAGTTACCCTTATGCTATTGCTTTTGAATACTGTGCTGTTGTTCGTAGAGGTAAAGTTATTCCATTTAGTGAAAATTTACTGTAGGTCACTAGTAAGTCAATATATGGTTTATCTTAGTGTTCACACTATAATTATAGATTTTCTTATGACTAGAGGTGGTATTTTATTGGTCCTTAGGGTTTGGTAATATTCAGTTTATATTTAATGCTATAATTGATGCTGACTTAATTAGTATAACCACAGTTGACATAGGTGTTGCTATTAATTTGTTTTCTTGAGATGCCAATGTCAAGATTGTCGAGAGGTCATTAACAATACTGGGACCCATTTGGGGAGAACTAGATATTGGCAAAGATTTGTTACAACTTTCTAACTCAAGAAAATGGAGGTAGATGAATCCTGAGATGGAGACAAAGGCCGGTTGTTAGTCACGCCTGGAGGACAGCACTGAAAAGTAGACATTAACTAAAGAGCACTCCATACTAGAAACACTACAATAAACCCATATAGTAATCACAGAACAAACAAAAATATAAATGTCAGAAAACAAGCCAACATAATGCCTCCAAAAATTCCCAACTCCCTAACGCTGATCCACGGGTCATTGGAGGGAAGGAAACCCAAAGCTTTACATCCCAAT